TTTCGTCATTAACTAATTATTAACTATTATTTCTTTATATTAACAAAATTGTAATATAAAACAAACAGTTTGTGTGAGTGGAATAAATGCGTTGGTTGATATTGTGTCTGGACGTTTTAAAGTATTTAAAACTAATACCTTTTCATTATAATCTTCTAATTCCGCCATCACTCTTTTGATATTTGCATTAATCCAATCAATGTCCTATTACATAAATCTCCTTTTTTATTTCTTATTATAAAACCCTTCTCATTTTATTCAGAAAAATTACAAACAGCAACAAGTTGTTGATTTAATGCAGCTAATTCATATCTATCCATTTGTTCAAGTTTAATTGAATTTCCAATACACTTCATTAAAGATAAAAGAATTGAAATAATCAGATGATAAATGGGATAAACTTGATATTAAACACTTAAAATACTATAAGTATAAGATAAAATATTATAATGTATAGTAAAAAAAACTGAATTTAATCATTAAAGAGCAACAAGTTTAAGGAATGTTGCTAAATCAATGTCAGACTCCATTGTAATCCCTAAAATAGAAAAAACCTTTTCAACTTCTTCTTTTGTCATTTTATCACCAACGGTAGTTAAGTTATGTGCAAGATCAGAAGCTTTAATTTTGCCATCTTTGTCTTGGTCAAACACCTCAAAAGCTTTTCTTAATTTTATTTCTCTTGTGTCTGGTTTACTTTGTTCTCTTTCCATAATCAATTCAAATTGTTCAATTTGGAAAGTTTCTCCTTCAATAGCAAATTCCTTAATATATGAATTAACTTCATCTTCAGTTGGAGCACAACCTAAAAGAGTAAGTTTTTCACTAAACACAAAAATTTACATGAATCAATAAACTACTTAACAAACCAAGTGATCTGATTAAAGTTCCTAATTGTTTAACATCAATCTTTCCATCATAGTCTCTATCATAAAAGTTAAAACAATCACGAATTTTTTGAGTGTTTGCATTTGGTGCTTCTATTTCCATAGACATGTTTCTCTCTTTTGATTTTAGTTCATTCTTTCTTATTTTATTTTTCTAATTTATTATTAATTCATTTACTATTTGTTATTTCAAGTGTTTTCTCTTTTTCTAATAACAAAAATAAATAACATTTTTAATACATATTTTTTTTTATAAATTTCAAAAAAAGAAAAACAAAAACAATTTTAAATAAAAATAATGAAATATAGAGGATAAACTACAGAATAAAAAAAAATAATAAAAAGAATAGTAAAAAGAACTATATAAAAGAAACTATAAAATATAATATTATGATTTTTGAATTACTCTTTTTCCTAAGTGTTGTCATTGCAGGTACACCTGCTACTCGAATGAACTCAAGATCAATGATGCCACTAAGACCATTTGCAATGAATCAACAAGAATTAGAAAGACAAATGATGGAAGAACATAATCAAAATTTACGAAGATTAACAGATAAATATTTACTTGATGAGAGTGTTAAAGGATCATTAAAGAATGCAAATAAGAGATTATGGAGAGATATGAGAATAAGTGAAATGGAAGCTAAAATGCAATTTAGAAAACAAATAGCAGAAAGAGGAAATCAACCACAATACAAACAAGCAGCTGATAAATGGAAGAGTCTTGAGATGCAAAGAAAGATGTTTATTAGATATATGAAAAGTGCTAATAAAAATAGTGTTGATTATGACTCATTATATTCAATGCCATTTAAAGAAGATATTCGTTTTCCTAAACAAAAACAAATATTTAAAGTTGAAGATGGATTAATGCAAGGTCCAAGTAAAAGTTATAATAAATGGATTAGACCTGATGGTGATATTACTGCTGACAATGTTGATACAGACAAAACTTAT